TCTTGGCAGGTGTACCTCATGCGCAGCCACCACCAGCCCGTCAGTGGAGGCTTGTGTGTTGTTCTGATGCTGAAAGGGTTTCTGCAGAGCTTCCAGACTGAGACAGACTAGGAAGAAAGGCCTGGAGATCTATTTCAAAAATCAGCCAGTGAAAACTCTATGGATCACGACAGTCTGATTCCACTGTACATGGGGCACCATGAGTCAAGGGCCGACTTGACAGCAGCCAACAATAACAACAACAATACCTGACCCCAAGGAAGCGGTAGGTATCCTATTGGTTATTCTCCTGCATTTTACTTAGAGGTTTTCTAGAAAGTATGGCACAGGAGAAGGATAAAGGAGCTATGGTTTGCCATGGTGACACCTGGGAAAACTTTGGTGATAATTTTTTATTGTAGATTTGCAACTTGAGGCTGATACGTAAAACATCCTACCTTTATGCCAACCTGTGTTTTTATACGTGGAGGAGAAAATACCACCCAATTGCAGTTAAGCATTTAAGCTTAAAGTTCTAGCTCTGAACTCTATGCTGGGTTTTTTTTTTTTTTTTTCCCCTTAGCAACAGAAGAGAACAATATGAAAACTATAGCCCAGATCTATAATTGTGAAGCTACTGTTAGACAAACACTCACTGCTTTGTTCTGCTGCACTTTAAAAATTATGTAGATGCTGACAGTTTTGTGGAAGGAGAAGTATTTATATCCCAAAAGCATGTGGGTTGCCCTGACAAATATTAGTTACATAAGCCTAATGATAGCTGTATTCAAACAAACACCAAGTTGCTTTAAAACAGAGAAACGTCTCAACTTTTTCTCATGCGTGCAGACTTGAAGGAATTGGATATTAAATGTCGTTTTCAGCCTAAACTTGGAATAACGTGCCAAACTCACTTCTTTCTTGAGAAAGAGCTTTGAAGTGGAAATCAGAAACATACTCCAGTTCTGACTCAGTGGCTAGCCAGCCAGGTGACGCTGAAGAAATCGCTATCCACTTGAAGTACAGATGCTGGCTTTCATTGTCAGAGGCAAAGTCAGGAGACCAGGACCCTTCGCGTTATTCTATGATTCTAGCTTCCTTTCTCCCATATGCCACTACTCCTATGTTTATTTTCAGCTGAATACTGCCCAAATATCACCCTAAATTTTTACAAACTATGCTGCCATATATTTTTTAAATTTCCTATTCTATGGTTTTTGTTATTTGGAACAGAGAACAACACCCCTGCTTTACAGATTTGGGGTGACTGCTGAGCCCTCCCATTGAAACAGCCTGAGAAATTCTACAAACAGGGCCCAGAAATGACCATGAAATGGTGACAGAGAAGGCAACAATATAATTTTTTTTGGTTCTTTTAAGAATTTCCCTCTATATTTGTAGTAAAAGAATTGGAATCTATTCTTTTAATTGTAAGGTTACTGAACAAATGGCCATTTTGGTTCAGTAAGGAGATACATTCATCTTATCAGCCTAGAATTTTACAGAAAAGTTTGCAGAAGCCATTTGTCCCTTCTTTTGGGTATGTGGGCGTTCATTCATTCATCGATTTGCTCAATATTTATAGAGCGTCTCTATGTATATGCAAAGCATTTTGACGCTCTCCAGAGAGGCCATGTTCAAGGAGCTCACAGTCTGTTAGATACGTTGAGAATCCTAATACATGAAGGAAAGAGAGACAACATCCAAGGAGGACAGCAGAGGTGTTATGGAGGCTGAGCAAAAGGAGAAGTTATTCTCAGTTAGGGGTGAGAAGAGAGGTAGACTCTTCACGTCAGTATGAGAGGGCTTGGTACACAGTTGTTGTTGCCAAAAGGATGAACAAATCTGTCTTGGAAGAAGTACAACCAGAATGCTCCTTAGAAGCAAGGATGGAGAGACTATGTCTCACATACTTTGGACATGTTATCGGGAAGGATCCACCCCTGGAGAAGGACATCATGCTTGGTAAATTAAAGCGTCAGCGAAAAAGAGGAAGACCCTCAACAAGATGGATCGACACAGTGGCTGCAATAATGGGCTCAAGCGTAAGAGCGATTGTGAGGATGTTGAAGGACGGGAGAGTGTTCCGTTCTGTTGTATGCAGGGCCACTACGAATCAGAACCGACTCAATGACACCTAGCGACAGTTGTTGAATAAGTATTCGTTGCGGGAATAAGTGAATGACAGTGACATGCACACTCCTTTGCCATCTCCATGCGGAACATGACAGGACATTTAGTGGAATGGAAACCATGAAGCCATGAGCCACCTCTATATGTGGCTTTTACTTGGTAGACAGCAAAAGGAAAGCATGAGCTTAGGAGGGCTGACTAAACATCATAAACAGTAACAAACTATTGCCGTGTGGCCACTTATACAAAACAGTAGTGTTTTGTTTGCCTTGTTAAACTTATTGTGGTGTAGAGATCTGATGTAGGTTCAAATTCTAGTCTTAACATTTACTAGCTCTCTGTGCTTCGGGTTCCTCCCTGGCAAATTGAGGACATTACTTATCTCAAACTGTTATTATGACCATTAAATAACATGACTCTATCATTCCTTATTAGCTGTGTGATCAGCTTGTTTCCTCATCTGTAAAATGGGAATTAAAATAGGAATAATAATAATAATCATAGAAGTAGTATATAAAATCTCTAGCTCCTTGCCTGATAAATAGTCAGTGTTTGATAAATCTAGTTTATTATTAGTAGTAGTAGCAGGCCTGGTGGATCAGTGGTTAAGCACTTGGCTGCTAGCCAGAAGGTTGACAGTTCAAACTTACCAGCCACTCTGGGGGAGAAAGATGTGGTGAGCTGCTCCTGTAAAGATTTACAGCCTTGGAAACCCTATGGGACAGTGCTACTCTGTCATATTGGGCTGCTAAGACTTGGAATCGACTCAGTGGCAATGGGTAAGGTAGTTAAAAACAAAACACAGTTGTTGTCCAGTTGATTCCAACTAAGAGTGACCCCATGTGTGTCAGAGTAGAACTGAGTTTCATAGGGTTTTCAATGGCTGATGTTTTGGAATTAGATCTCCAGGCCTTTCTTTTGAGGAACCTTTGGGTGGACATGAACCTCCAACCTTTCAGTTCGTAGCCAAGAGCATTAACCATTTGCAACCCCCCAGGGACTCCAGTATTGGTAGCAGCCGCAATCTACTCGTATCTTTTGGCAGATACAATTACCATCGACATCATTTTATACCAGTTTACACAAGAATATCTCTATGTTATTTATTTGTCTTGTTTGGCACTCGAACTCCTGTTGGATATAAATTCTCACTTCTCCATTATGCAGATGAGGAAACCTAGGCTGAGGGGTGAACTGAGGTGCTCAGGGTGATACTCTGAGGGAGGGCAGAGTCAGGCCTAAGCTGCAGATTCTCAGACCCGGGAATCCTACGATCTTCCCACAGTATCGCGCCAGGGTTTCAGGAGGGTAGTGGGAGTCGCATCTACCGTGTGTGCACGTCCTGTGTGTATGCCACATGGATCTGAGTTTGAGTCCTGACTCTGCCCATGTGTTTTCAGGAAAGGCACTTCAGTCTCTCCAAGCCTCAGGTTCCTTATCTGTAAAACAGACCTTGTGTTATCTACCTTAAAAGGTTGTTGCGTAAAAGCAGACGAAATGGGCACACCAGCGCAGGGGCAAGGATGAGAAGGCAGGAGGGGACAAGAAAGCTGGTAATAGAGACTCCAGGGTCGAGAAGGAGAGCGTGTTGACATGCCGTGGGGTTGGCAACCAATGTCACAAAACAGTATGTGTACTAATTGTTTAATGAGAAGCTAGTTTGTTCTGTAAAGCTTCTTTCTAAAGTACAATAGAAAAAGACTAAAACATTAAAAACCAAAAAAAAAAAAAGGTTGTTGTGTGTAGATGGTATAAATCAAATGAGAAAATGTGTGTGAAGCACCCATCACTTAAAAACTCATGAACTGACAGCTGATTCTACTCTTAAAGCCCCAATGTTAGAGATCTTCCAGTCCAGCCCTGCCACAGCTGTTTCCCAGAATACCCTTCCTCAATATGTGTCATGTGGAGAAAGAGGTTCCATGGCTAAATAAGCTTGGGAATGGCGGGTGAAACAAAGCTAAGTGAGGTCCTTTTCCACAGAACTCATGTACTGGCCTAGTGGATAATAGAAATCTTCTAGATCGGGACATTTTAGTCATGTTTCTTAAGTCCATTTGACCACAGAGTTCTCTTTAGTGGGTCATATCATGTGACTGATGTTCCGTAGAACTCACACTGGAACATACTGGTGTGATCAGGCATCTTCCTTCAGTAGATGAGGAAATGCAGCCCACCTGTCAACTAGACAAGAAGAGGCAGAGCTAGGATTGGAACCAGCTCCCGGACTCTCTAAGTCCCCTCTGTTAGCACCATTTAGGTTATGTCACTACCCCTGACTTCTGCTGCTCGACTCTCTGCTGCTTGTCCTAAAAGGCTCAAAGGGTCAGGATAAAGTTTCTAGATAGGACAGCAGAAGGAAGGAAATCATGGAGGAATGTGGTCTGACAACACTGAAGAAATCATTAGAAGGAGATTCAGAGCTGGAGGCTCACACCAAAACAAGCAGGCCGGTGAGTCACAATTGGGACATCTGGCTCCTTGTTAAGACCCTGTGTGCATGAGAGGCTGATACTGAATTGTTCAGCTGCAACCATATTATTCAGCTAAGGAGACTCAGGAAAATGCTGCCTGCTAATATTACTAACTGTGGCCCAGTCACATAGCAATTTGCCGCCCGTCCATATTTTACTGAGATGAGCAATTACATGTCCTGTAATGGCAATGAAGCAATAAAATTTATGTCTTGTCATCTTTAACAAGATTAGACAGCCCTTCTCATAAATGTAATACTGAACAGAGAGTTTTAAGAACATAAGTATAGTTAAGGATTCTCAAGTTTATCCCTCATAGTTAATTAAAATCCTCCCCAAGAATCGGCCAATGATAGCTACAAGGACGTTGGACCTTTTCATCCACGGGAGGGTGAACTAATGATTGTTCCATACCTTGCTCAGCTTCAGCTTGGTTTGTGGCTCACAACATTGGTACCGTATAGATTTCAGAAGAGCAGCGAAGGGAGTGACTCCTATGCCTGCGGCAATGCACATGCCCACCGGATAATGGAACACGTCCGTGATGGCGGCTCCAAATGGTCCGTCCACCGCAAGCCTGAAATCACAGCATTGAGTCTGATGACATTAGAACACTCTGCTCTTGAAAACAAAACCGTCCTAAGCCTGTGTTATGCATAGGATGTGTGTTATAAATGTATACAGAAAGGTTGACTCTGTCTCAAGAATGTCCTATTTGGAGAGCCTGGACTCAGCAAGAGGCTATCGGGCCTGGCCTTATGCGCAGGCTCCATTCATGGAAGGATAAATGCTGACGTCTCTGCTATAGCTCATGCTTGTTCCATGTGGCATGTGTTTCTTAGAGCTTTTAGACACTTGTTTGGTCTCCAAGCATCATACCTGTAAAACCAGTTGCTGTCGAGTCAGTTCCGACTCATGACAACCTCATGATGTCAGAGTAGAATTGTGTTCCATAGAGTTTTCAATGGCTGATTTTTTGGAAGTAGATCACCAGGACTTTTTTACTGAGGTGCTCTGGGTGGACTCAAACTTCCAACCTTTTGGTTAGCAGCCAAGCATGTTAACAGTTTGTATCACCCAGGGATTCGTCAAGAAGAAGTCTGGGGAAAGAGATCTTTTCTCCCAGCTGCTATCATAGGGGAAAGCAGAAGCATCAAGGTGGTTTAGAAGGCTTGTCTGTCCTTTTCTGAATGTAATTCTCCACTGTTTTCATTTGTCTGGTCACACTCCTTAGTGTGTTTATATAAACCTAGTCTAACGGAAGCCATTCATTTGGAATACATATAATTTTGAAATAATTTGTCAGACATGAATTTCTAAAGCTCATTAATTTAGATTGTGCTCACTCAAAATCTGTGGTAATGAGGTGAGGGCTGGCCCTGAGGTTTTCTCTTTGCTTAGCACATTTTTCTTCCCAAGGATAAAACATATTCACGGAATAAATAAGACTTTCATTAACATGGTCCTGCATGATGGGCCCCTGGATTCTTCTCCATCTCTCATCATGAGTTTTCCTACACTGGCCTTTCTTTCATTTCTTAAAATACATGGTGCCCATGTCTGCTACAGGGCCTTTGCACATGATACTCTTCATTGGAATACTCTGGGATACTTGAGTGAAAGACTTCTCTCCTTACTTGGTTAATAGTTACCCTTACATTAGGTCTTATTCCAATCATTATTTCCCTGGGGAAGTCTTCCTGGACTCTTTAGATTAGGTTAAATCTCCTTTTACCTAATTTATAACACCATGTCCCTCTCCTCTGTAGTCCGTATCACAGTTATAATTTTACAATGTTTTTCTCTGTGTGTGATTTGATTTATATCTGTCCTTATCACTAAACCATAAGACAGCCTTGTCCGTCCCTGTTCATTACTGTCCCTGTGTCTTGCACACGCTCTGGCACGGAGTTTTTTGTTCAAAAACAATTTTTTGAATAAATTATAAAGGGGAAGTTTAAAATATTTCAGTCAGCAGAAAGTATTAAATAACCTCAACTATTCCAGAAGCACACATTTACATATGAACAAAGGTATGCTAATTAACAGGTTTCTAAGTTATTCACAACCAGTCCCTAAGGGGTGTGTACAGAAAGTGCACAAGGTTGGCCCATTTGGGCTTACTATGCGTTCATGAAAGTTCAGTTGAGTTTATTTTAAAATATTCTATATGCCAGACTACCTAATAATTCAAATTAACTCTCCTCAATTTAATATTAATTAATAAGACTGTATTACATATTGATATATGGAAATGGAAGAATAAAAATAAAAGGTCATTAACTGGAAAGGGTTAGTAGCTCAGCTCACTGTAGATTATTTTATAAATAATTAGATAAAGGGAATTGAGAGAAAAAATGAAATTGTCCATGGATTAAATTTGTCTCATTGTTAATTGTTTTTATAATTAGTGGTATTTGGGATTTACTTGACACATTTTAAAAGATATCAATTAAATTTAAAGAACAATTGTGTCATATAATTCACAGGAATACATAATAAACAAGTTGATCCATACTTACAATAGAGAATGT